AATCTATTTCTTTAAATTTATGAAATATGTTTGTTTCATCAAACTGATATGCAAAATCGCTGAAAACGATGTATTTGTTCTATAAAACTGGTATCCAAAATCATTGAATGTGTTTCTGTTTTATTTAAGTCTGCAAGATATATTATTATGCAATCTTAAGTCACGCCTTTATCATTTGAATAACTTGACAATTCACAAACGTTTTCAGTGACGTGTATTGGGGTTTAAACTAAAGGGTGTTTTTCCAAAATCGATCTTCTGACATTTAAAAATAGACAAAAAGTCTTCTTCTTTTTTTAAAGTTGCATATTTATTCAAGTATAACGACGTTTGGCTTTCGGTAATAAATTCAGATACTTTATTCCAGAATGAATCATATAATATTGTGACGTCATATGAGTAATATTGCCGGATATTTTTTATGGATTGATAATTGTTCAAATAGAAAAAACAAGTAAAAATAAAATGAAGTGAAATAGGAAATAACACACGAAAACGTTTTAATAATTATGGGAAAACGTAATTATTTTATTACAAGTGATAATTTGGGGAAACAGTTTTAAAGATTTCAAAAAAAAATGAAAATATCGCTCGCAAAAACTTTGACACATAAAGGATAGATTGCAAAAGCAAAGACAACGCTAAAATGCCAACACATGGAAAAAACATTAAGAGTCAAAAAGCAAAATTGTCAACATGCATAACTTCCCACCGTTAACGTTCATTTTAGATTATGATTTGCAATAGCGTTCGCCAGCGGAGTAAAATCGTCAATTTTATCACAATCACGAAAATCTAGCGGAATAACGTGTCATTTTACACATATAAATTGCTGCGAAAAACTTGTTTTGAAGAAAAATCGAAACTGTTATTATTTGTAGAAATGAAGCTAATTGCAGTGTATGAACCCTTCTGGGGCCCCTTTAAGTGAATTGACATGAACCGATTCATCACATTACAAAAACGTAAGTCAATAAATGGATGCTCTTAATACATCATATGAGCACACCAATCACATAGATCCATGCCTACCACCATCACAAGAAATTCAAACGTGATGTACTAATTTTGGAAAATCATGAACATTTCGTTTGATTGGGAAATACGATAACGCACTCTATAACCTTATCTGCATATATTACAATACCATAGCACATGATGTATGGTTCTTTTCCTGAATATCAGATATATATATATGTGATACACATTATGTCATATTTTAAACTGTAATTGCTTTTCAACATGAATAAAACACTGCGAAACAGACAAGAATTCGTTCTGACTAGTACACGTAATTGTGCGTTATGATTCACGATGATTCTGTATTACACTGGTCGCTCTAGCCCATGACGTTAACATTAGAATCTCAACCTATCTTTACTTTTAAGAACTAACATTATGATTTTATTACTTCGACCGGAAAACATTGCAGAAACGCTTACTTAAGATAAATATAATTATATGATGTCATATCAAGTCAATAAGTTTAGTGGTAGAAATTTTGACCTTACTTCTGCATATGTGAAATTTCATGGGTTCTATTAAACCTATATTAACTCAACAATCAAAGACCTATATGATAACATGCAATTCATTCTTTACACACGCGCCAAAGTACCTGTGTTAGTTGAACACACGTAGCTTCCGGAACGCCTCGGGACATTTCGTACAAGTTGTATGATGAAACAATATTTATTTTTAGATTAGCCGACAGTCTGATTTCGGGAGTGACGAACATGTATCATATTTATATATATCGAAGCTCGAAAACCGACTAAAGTATTACATTTGTATAAGTATTCTTCCTCATTCATTTACTTCTGATAGCAACCTTCACTGGACAGTCCACTGTTTGTTTATTTACCTCGTTTTTCAATTTCTTTTTTAAAATTTATAAAATGTATTTGTTTCATCTAACTGATATGCTAATCATTGAATATGCATTTGTTCTATAAAACTGGTTTCCAAAATCCTTGAATGTGTTTCTCTTTCATGTAATCTTAAGTCACACCTATATCATTTAAATAACCTGTCAATTTACAAACGTTTTCAGTGACGTGATATTGGGGTTGCCAAAAAAGAATTATTTTCCTAAAATCGATTATTTGACATTTCAAAATTGATATGAAAAGTCTTTCCTTTTTAATTTGCATTTTTTTATTTTTAAGTTTAACGACATTTGGTTTCCATTAACCAAGAATCATAGATATGTGTGATAACAAAACACACGATATCAAAATAGGCATAACCTTTTAAATAATTCTATTTTGTAAAGTCAGCAAGATGTACTTTTCTACGATCAGGAACAGCGATACATGAATCAGATGTTATCGGCCTTGGCGGAGAAAGGATTGGAAGGGGGAACTGTGTAACACTCCCCAGCTACAGGGCACTGACTCGATACTATACTCAGTCAGTTATTATACTGTACACTGATAAACAGTTGTTTGTTCGGACGGAGAGGAGAAGTGTTTTGTTATAACTAATTCACACTACTTACATGGCGTAAACATGTAATACAAGTAGTTTGCTAGCTTGCTTCTTATAAGACCTGTATTTGTATGATGAAAATGAACCAATAGACCGTCGCTTCACACACACATCTCAGAATGGCTCCCTGTTTGAGAATATGTATTGCCATTTCTAGTTTTAAGGAAGTTAATTTGGTGTGATACATAAATCGTCATTGAATACGTTGTTTCTGATTTATTTTATTATAAAACGTTATTCAGAATTCTAAGGTTTGAAGCTGGATGTATTTTATTATTATTCAAGCTGTATGCATGCAAACAATTTAATTACAAGCGTGACATGAAAGGCTCCTCTCCGCTACGACCACTCATGTTGTGTGTACGTAAATTCTTCCCATTCATAATGCATGAATCTGGGGGAAACCTACTTCAATAACATGTAAAAGTTTAAAAGCTTAAACATAAACGTCTGTACAGTGATATCACAGATAGTTTTGAGAAAAGCTCATTTTGATATCTGATGTTTGATTGGTAAAAGCAAAACCACAAGATGGCCAGGAAATCACACTTGTTCAGCCGGGTCAGCACAATGCATCACTTTACGATGTTAGGCAATGTTAAGCCCTTCCTTTACGTTAATATGATCTCCCCCAATCAGACGCTTGATTTGTCAGTGTGGTGACGTATCACCCATGTCCTCCACACACCCTTGGTTACCAGGAACTAGTTGTTACGAGTTTAATTGACTTATTGTCACATTAAGGTAAAATCTTAATCAATGATATTTTCATAATCATTTAAACTGAGTAATGCATTTGTCAAGGAATCCAAAATGTCATTACAAAATAAAAAGGCGAAATAAAAAATACTTTCTGAACAAGAAATTTTACTTTAACGGATCATTAAGTTCATGAATGTTTATGTAGAATTTGGAGCCTGTCCGCCTTCAGAATTGCATATTCCCAATGTCTGCATAATTTACAAGTTTATCATCTCGAGTAAGGATGACGCCACAATGAAGGAAAATATGACGTCATCTTCAAGCATAACCACCTTTGTAAGCAGTATTTTCATTGGAGATACGGCTTTTTCCCGGGACAATCCAAATTTTATACATAAACGTATGCCAGGGGATCGAAATTTGTGACAAAACTTCAGGCATTCTCCAAACCATAGTCCTTTGTGTGAGAGGTTTCAATCTCGCAAAAAACACACACATCAGAATTCCTAATCATAGAGGTGCGGTTGTTTACCGAATAAGAGTGGAACATGCCTGAAATGTACTGCTAGTACCTCTTGCACAATTAGGTACGACTTCAAACAAACAACACAAAAGCACATTAAAGCAAAAACATGGTTAAACAGTTCAGGATATATATATATATACATTCGAAAGAGTGATCTTTGAACGACTTCTAATTAAGAGTAATTTTAAAAAGTCAGGTAAAACGAGTTTAAGATTGATCAAAAATGGAGAAAAAAATGAAAAAGAAAAGAAAAACTCTTCCAATTATAATTTTCACTTAGAATCTATGACGTCATCTCTGAATTGTTTGTGACGTCAAAATGAGTACTGTTACATATAGAAATGTTTGTGGTACTGGGAATAAAACCGAGAAGGTAGGGTATGTAAATGTTTCGGCTAATGACATGTTCTTCTTCTTGTAAACTAAATAAACATCTTAAATAAACAACAAACAAATGCATATTACATGTGTGTTTTTTTCAAATTTCTAACAATGTATAAACTCTTTTTTCCGTTGTATAAATGAGAAAATATCACGATTCGTGTGATAGAGGGGACAAAAAAAACTTCTTAATTGTAATTTGAGCATGTCCAACATCCCATCATCTCGTTTATTTTGTATAAAATATACATCACGAGCGTTGTTCGGCGTTATACACGTACATTTGATTTAATCCTGTCCAACATAAAGTACACAATTTTTTGTATTGTGATTTAATTTAATTAGACAACACGATTCAACCGATAGTCTAGCATTACGCCCTTAATACAATGTATCTTAATGTTACGCTAAAGAAGTTCATCTGAGATAACACAGGTCGCCAGTAACCACTCTCCAACCTTCTGACAGGCCCTACGCTTTAAAGTGTATACACACTATACCTGTGTGCTATTACTTGCTAGATATTTTAAGATAGATATCCTGTTCCGGATTTAAAGGGAGTTTTTTCCAAATTAATTAGAAAGTATTTTTCTGCTTGATGCATCTAAGCACATACCTTCTTTACCAGCCCACCTTGCGTACGTATGAAATATCCCGAGGCGTTCCGGAAGCCACGTGTGTCCAACTAACATATGTACTTTGGCACGTGTGTAAATAATGAATTGCAGCTATCTCCTTATTTGGATTAAAAATTACGAACTTTTGGCTTGGCTAAGGACAGGCACTTGTTGGGAAATCCAAGAATAGAGTCAATCAAGTGGTCGGGATGACGTCTTGGCTGAATGGATAAGGTTAGTATATAAGGGACACCGAAATTTAACTATTATTGTTTTTCGATACAAAGGCCGGAATACGAAGGTTTTAGGATGAAGTCGTTGTTTTCTCGTATGTATTATTTAGGTGCTTTTTATATAAATATTTGATGATTAACAGAAATTCTGGATTTTTTTAGCTTTATGCATTTGTATTTAAAAGATAATTCTTCCCATCTGAGATTATCTTATACAAAATTGTACATGAATTAAATATTATTTGACATTTTCGCTCTGATGATTTGTCATTTACGTAAATAAACCGTTATTATTTTCCAATATCTTATCATTTTGAATGAAATTTAATTATTTTAATTTCATTTTACCGACAGTGACTGTATTTATCAAGTTCGTTCTGATATTGTTGATTTTTCCAAACGGAAGTTTGGGAAATTTGGGGAGCAATGTCAGTTTTTGTGGCGGCCGAAGCGACGGCGGATCTGGGAGCTTTCAAATTCCGGGAAGTGAAGCAGGTTTAGATAGAGTTCCTATATCCCTGTCCGAGGTCTGTCAACGATTAGTCATCAAATGTACATATGTCGCCGACACAACAAGAAATCTTAAATCTTTATATGTAAGTACATGCTTTTTATTCAAAGACAAATTACTGTTTACCTGGATATTTTCGCTGCAGTTCAATTTTAGCATTCGCCCTCTATAATGGGATGAATTTGTAATTACAGCGAATATAAGTAAAACGTATAATAAACATAGTAATCAGACAAGAAGGGCTAAATTAACACTTGGAGAAAATTGATTTAAATACATCGTATCGTAACCATTTACAACAGTATTATACTTGTTTTACCTCTGTTAGATTTACTACATTGTATTGTAACCCTTGACAACAGTATTATACCGGTATTTACCTGTTTTAGATATACTACATTGTATCATAACCCTTGACAACAGTATTATACCGGTTTTTACCTCTGTTAGATTTACTACATTGTATCGTAACCATTTACAACAGTATTATACCGGTTTTACCTCTGTTAGATATACTACATCGTATCGTAACCATTTACAACAGTATTATACTTGTTTTACCTCTGTTAGATATACTACATCGTATCGTAACCCTTGACAACAGTATTATACTTGTTTTACCTCTGTTAAATATACTACATCGTATCGTAACCATTTACAACAGTTTTATACTTGTTTTACCTTTTTTAGATATACTACATCGTATCGTAACCATTGACAACAGTATTATACTTGTTTTACCTCTGTTAGATATACTACATTGTATCGGAACCATTGACAACAGTATTATACTTGTTTTACCTCTGTTAGATATACTACATCGTATCGTAACCATTGACAACAGTATTATACTTGTTTTGCCTCGGTTAGATAATCCATCCCACTGAGTTTTTCTGAGCATAAAGTTGGCTGGTTCATCGAATTTCTCGCAGAAGATTTTAATTCTTCATTTATCATACTTTGATTAATGTGTCATTTATGAAACACTAAACAAAACGATTGCTTTTGATTTAAGGCTGCCAACAAAATAGAAGATCCCAGTTTGCTTGCAGCCCTCGCTACAACTTCACGCCTTACCGGTTTCCCGCCGAATCCTTCCGAAGGCATGGTATGTCAACCGGCATTTAGTCTATATTATCACTGCATTGGTCTAAAAAAAAAAAGGCTATCTACACGTCTATCTCTGTTTATATATGTATTATAACACGTGCGTGGGAGTAAGACGGTCGTCAAAAGATAAATACACGTTAATGTAGACTTTAACACGTGAAGTTGTTCATAACTGAACTCATCCTTTGCGAAAATATTCACAAGCGAATATCTATTTTTAAGTTTTAGATAATTGAAATAACATATGAAGATTTCAGAGCAATCGACAACGGGAAATTTTCCATTCCGCGATAAGTTGAAAGAGACAAAGTGTGAACGTTTCCATACGCGAAATTTTCAGCTTTTACATAAAGATCATTCAAAAATTGCTTCGTTAATACAAGAAAGATTCATTTGTATTGGAGAGTTCACCATTTATTATTGTACGATCTTGACTGTTTCCAAGGTGATATCAAGCGTTGTTTAACTATGTTTCAGGAAGCTTTGACTGGAGAGCTATCTTTTTCCATTATAGACACTAACTACAAAGTCCTTCGTTTCTAACTGAAGGTTTTTCTAAACCAAATACATTGTTATTCGAATTGAGAAAGAATTTACGAGGAGAAGCCTGTTATAATTCAAGCAGCTTCTTGTTGACATCGATCTGACATCAGGTTTTCGTTAATTGAATATCCGTCCTATAAACAGCAATAGTATTGAAATAGGCAAAATGAAAGATCTAAACATACATTTACATCTCTCCCCTCTTCAGCTTAGTAAACTCCAAATAAAGGTCAATATTATGTATCTTTATTAAAAAATGATTCATTAGAGACATAATTATGCATTGGCATCTAATACACATTACTATATTAAGTATATAGCTGAAATATGATTCCCCTTTTTCCCTTTCATGTTGGAAAATACCACCAATTCTATTTCAATATTTCATCGCTGCATTTTAATTCTTAATTGCGATCTATTTTGTTTTTAATTAGAGATGAATTAAACGTTTACCCCGTGAACAGTAAAAAACAAATAACTAGGAAAGCATTCAATTCCTGTCACGTGTTCTGTTAATAGAACGGGATTTACTACACACGATTTCAGTGGGTTGCTACAATAAATATAGCCCTAATGTTGACGCTTGAAATGATTGCTTTGTATTTCATTTTATGTTTACTTTATATCCATACTTCATGGAGTAGAACGTGGGTTTATGATAAAATTCTCTATTAATTGGGCGTGAACAGGTGTAAAAGTTATTATTGTCGGCACTTACACCACATATATACCGAAAACCAGGTGTGAAATAATAATTTGATAAGAAGTAGATCCGGAACGACAAAAATGTGGCCTCTATTCTTAAAATAATTTAAACAGGTTTAACCTTTTTATATGTTCACGTTGGTATTTAAACAGTAGGAGAATATAGCTAATTGTCGCGGGCGTCAATCAATCTCATAAACTTTCAAATTTTTGGCGAACGTTAAGAATAATTCAAAAGTAAATGTATATGAGGCGGGTTACGCAATTATTTTAATTTGTTTAAAAAGCACATTTTAACTTCTTTTTTTTTATTGGATTCGCAACCAAAAACAATTTCGACTTAAGATATCATTGGACTAACGAATGGCCTCACGAATGATTTCAGATAGACATCAAACAGTTTATTGGTACATTGATGTAAAAACAATAATGTCATCTCTTTTCTCTTATAATAATTATTGCAATACATAATTAGTTATCCAGGTAATTAAAACGGGAAGCAGTGCACTGCAGACTGAAATAAATGTTCATTGAAGAAATAATATTGTAAGGTTCATAAGAGATATCATCGAGGATTTAAAAGACGTATTTTAAAACTTTTTTAGATGTTTATATACCAGGTAGAACCAGGCATGAAATGTTCGTAGAGTTTTCGTTAAGCTTACAATATATTAAATAACTGAACCATAAATACATGCCTTATAAAATAATAATTGTAATATGTAAATTATCACTGAATATATAAACATCACAATTATTGATTTTTTTCTTTAAAACATTATTTTTAATGACAGAATCATTCAATCCAAGCAACCCTTTCATTTTATTAAGTTTATCTTAATCAGAATGCATGTATTGTGGTTTTATAACACAAAACTATTCCAACCTTTGAATTGGAACAGTTCAAATGTGTCTTCAGGGATGAATGAGTTAAAACTTGAAACGAAGTAGGCTTTATTCATTCACCCCTGAAGTTTCATAATGAACTATTCCAACGTTTGAACTGGAAGAGTTAAAATGTGTCTTCAGTGGGTAAATAAGTTAATACTTGAAACGATGTATTGCTGCTATACTTTCCAAATTCATAAGAATAAATCCTAGCACTTAGTTTGCTTTGTTACATTTTCATATTTTTTTTTAGATTTCATGCAACATATTCATATGTTTTCGTATTCTTTTTCAGCTGAACGAGACATTGTTGAATAATTTCAACGATCAGCAGAAAATTCTGGCATTTTTGAGATTGGCGAAGAAAAACGAATTGTCCTCGGCGTATAAAAGGAGTATAAGCACAATCATGAACCAAGTCAAAGGCAACCTGTGTGAACTTTCGGTATTGCTGAAGAGTAGGCATATACCAGCAGAGCGAATCCGGGTCCAAATGCCGAACAATTACAAAATTATGTCACAAACGTCTCGATACTCCTGGATATACGTTTTGCTGCGAGACGTTTTAGAATTCTTTGAAGGCAGCACAACCCTGTTCACGTCATACAGTTGATAGACGCTCTTTAGTATTAGGGAATCGAAGGGAGATCAAATGCCAAAGGAGGACATAAGGAGACCAGAATGGCAGTGCGATTCAATTTATCGAAATCCATTGTATGAGTGTATTTATGAGTGAATGTGTGTGTGTTACTCGGAGGGTGTACGTGTTTATTTGTAATGTGTAAAGAAGGCTTAGAGGGAGGCAGACAGAGAGGGAGAGAGAGTAATTTATTTTGCAATGAACGTTTAAATAATCATCAATAATTTATTTATTTATCATAACACGAAATATATACATCTGAAAAATGTCATTTTATTTCATTAATTTTATCTGTTTTTTGCATTTATATATTCCTATTTACATATCCGTTCCAACAGACTAGGGCTAAATACCGTACAATACTGCTGTATCAGCAACAAAGCTAATTGGTCACATTACATTGTATGACTGTTAAGTTGTAATGGAGTTCGATGATGGTTGGCTATCAAAGATATTAAGATGAGACAAGTCTTTAAAACGATTAAATGAAATACTCGAGTTCAGAAGAGATACAGAAAGTTGAACATATTTTAAAATCATCCTATCTAATTGTTTTCTATGGATTGCTAAAATAACAAAGTTTCAGCATTTGGTAAGACGATTACTACCAAGGACGATTAATAATATATTAAAATGTTCAAATGAAATTCTGCTTTGTGTAAGGTAAACGTCTACCTTATATTAATTCTCTGAGTAATTATAAAGAGAGTGAAAAAGAACATGAAACGAGGTTACCATACCTGTTAAGATGTATATGATATAACAATTTACATTTTTTATACTTTGTTTAACTACATTGTATTGTTCACCTCATTTCCTAATTAACGATGGCTGGTTATCTCAAATGCAATAATATGAATGTTTAAATTGAAATGGCAAAAAAATGATGACATTGAAAATGTAACTCAATTCAACCATATCAGTGAAAAACATTCTCATGTGTCACATGCTCATTTTCACGTATGGAGATTACATATTACAGTTATTGTCTTAGATTTTTTATGATATTTTTATTTATTGAGTGTTATTAAATCAATATGATATAATAAAATGTTCCAATAAACATTTGTTTTGTGTTATATTTATGTTTTTCAAAATATACTACTATTATGTAAAAAGAAGATTTTAATTATCAACAGTTTTTATATATAAATATTTACATTCTGTATGCTTAGACCCATTGACAAAAATTACATTCATAAATGCATAACACAGGTGTTAATAGAATCTCAGCACGTGGGAACTGATAGTTACCTGATCACACTGCGTAGTAATACACTACAAAAACTACTCACCCGGAACGACCGACCTAGATGCTTAATTCTTACATCTTAAAATATTATTGAACTGTGCTTTGTGAAATATTCACGTATTGACGTGTCCTGTGCTACAAATAAACACTGAATATGGAACTACATTTTGTTGTGTTATTAATGTTGACGGTTGCTAAGATCTCTCACGATAGTGTCACATTTCCCCGCGAAAAACACTGTTCTCGCCACTGCGTTGCACCCGTGTATAAGCAGGAACAAACCCTGTTTATTTGTTTTATTCGTTGTTTTATCGATCCACTGAAAGGATTCGTCAATGTAAATATGAGGAATGATATTTATTTTTTCAACATTTATGAGGTCAGATAACGCGATTCATTCAATATGTCCATAAACCCATTGTTGTTAAGACCTCATAAATGTTGAAAAAATAAAAATCATTCCTTAAGTATTACTGTTATGACGTCACCAAATTTGACTGTTTTGACGTCATCAGTTTGTGAATGTTTATGACTATGTATTTCTTATGATGTCATATTAAAGATCTGTCATTCCTTCTGTATATCCTGAATTTGCGAAACGCTCGGTGATTTGCTATTTTTGAACTTGTTTTATGTTTTAATATACATTTTGTATAGTTGATATGTATTGATTATTTGGCATTCAACTGTATCAAGTTACTCCAATAGAAAAGGTAAAATTAGAATCTAAGTCCGATAGCAAACGCAGGAAGAGAGGTAAATAGATAAAACTAATGATAGTGTGATAGTGTGAGCCCCAACGTAACAAAAAGTACCTGTTCTCCAGTAGGGAGATTGTTTCCTGTCAATATTTGAAGCATCCTCGATATCCAGGGGTTACGCTCACTTTCGCTCTCTACACCCTTGGAATATGTCATAGCAAAATTGAAGGCACGAATATAGCTGTTAGATTGGTCTCAGGTAAAACAAACTGACCAATCGCTAGGCTGATACCTGTTCTTTGAAGATTACTAAGGAGAGACGCCCGACTTCAAAGACTGTCAATTTTTACCGTTACGTGACCGCGATATGCTTTTGATGTACATCAAAGGATCGAACTAGTATTCTTGTCTCATCAACAAGGTGGCGCACACCGAGCCTTCAATTTTGCTATGACATTGTCCAGGGGTGCAGAGAGCGAAAGTGAGCGTAACCCGGGAGAATCGAGGATGTATTTGAAGATGTTCAGAGTTATGTTTTTTTAGTGCTGCAAGCTATCACAATATTAGAATCAATTCTAAGGCAAAGAGGAGGTTGTGAAATAATACAGATTCTGGGCAAAACCAAGAAGACTTATTTTTTTTTATTGTGATGGCATTGCCCATCGCCCTTTTCCTTCCACATCACAAAATTAATGAAAGAGTCAAATAACGAGGAGTGAGTGAGGCGTTTAACTGTAACGCTTGGCCATTTTGACTATCTACCTCCACATTCTCATTATAATAGCTACGTGATACTCAAAGGTTCAGACAATCTGAAGTCTCTTATCGCAACATATAGAAGTAATTTTTCCTTCTATTGTGATAATACAATAATATAATATTTTTATTCGAAATTATCTAATTTTTTAACATTGCAACGACTTAGGAAGTTTGTTTAATTAATATCTGATAATCTATCAGAATCATCATATAATTTTTCGTAAAATCCTTTAATCTCTTTCAAAATTCCATTCCGATCAGTAATAGTTTCTTGTTTTTCTTATGTAATTTTGGAATTATTTTAGAGGTAAAGTGTCTATTTTCTAAACTAAAAAAGTAATTTGTAGGTTTCTCCCCTTCCATTACCCATCTGGCTCTAGATCTAACTATGCTTCCCTTTATTTTGTGTAACAAACTCGAAATCAAGATCGGATAAAAAATAAATGGTGAAGATGTGAAGGATGTACCCGAGTTTGTATATCTGGGTGCAGTAGTTGATAGAGAAGGTAGTGGCAGCAGTGACATCTAGAACAGACTGCAGAAAGCAAGGGGATCATTCCATCGGCTCTGGAAGATATGGTCATCACGAGGGATTGGCAATAAAAAAAATCCATCTTTTTAAATCACTAGTAAGACCTGTGCTGTGATATGACTGCAATACATGGAAAACTACTAAAATGGACGAGAAGAAATTGGACACCTTTCAGAACCAGTGTCTCAGAAGAATATTAAGAATCAGGTGACAGCAACAGATATCGAATAGAGAGATTGCAGAGATGACAGGGGTAACAACCATCAGTTGTGATGTGAGAAGAAGACGATGGAATTGGTTGGGCCATGTACTAAGAAGGGAAGGAGAGAATGACTGGGCGCCATACGGAAAAAGGGCAAGAGGGAGGCCAAAGACAACATGGCGTAGGACAGAAGAGAGAGAAAGGAACCAAGCAGGATGGGGACTTGGAATACAGCCAAAAACAGTAGCAAAGGACAGAAAGAATTGGTCAGCCAGCATTAAGGCCTTAAGCGCGTTCTGGCGCGGAGAGAATTCAGGTTAAGGTAAGGTTATTTTGTGTAACCTAATTGCTTCAACTTCTCTTTCTTTTCGCAACATATAGCAGTTCTTCTCAAATTGTTCAGGTTATTCTTGGTTAATGAATGCAGTTCTTCATATATAGAAATATAACAAGCTCAAAATGTCGTTGAATACCTATATTTTTAATAAACGGAATACTTTTATTATTATCTGAATTTTAAACATAGGAATTAGGTTAAACCCAAAAATGGGATTCGGCAAACTTCCGATTTCGATTCCATCACAAACCGTTGGACGGATGTAATTAACCCAAGAATGGCGTATTCGATGGTATCCCCTACTGATGTGGAAAGGGTTTCATAAATATTTCATAAGCGTATAAAGCAGAAATGTCATTTTCATTGGGGCTTTCAAAAATCCACTCTTTTCAAGATTACATTTATAAATGACAGTATTTAATATTCTCTACGCTTGCCAAATTAAGAGTTGTCAGCGGAATGTTTACGAGATCCATTGTGATAGTGAGCAGTATAAAAAGGATTAGGTATAAAGGTTTCATAGAGATAAGGTATGGATTAGCCTTATGATTGTTCCATAGTCCATAGTAGAAGAGAAAAAACCATGCCAACCTACTTTAGTGAAACTGTACCATTTCTTGGAATTTAAGTTTTGATCAGTTTGAAGAGTTTGACTGAGAATGAAAGAAAGGTGGGGGTGCAAGAACGTTATATGAATTGTTCATCAAACATTTAATAAAAATGGAAAGCTATTCACGTCGATGATCACAAGTACAAAAAAGATTTATAAAAATCAATTTAACTATTGTTTAATTATCATATCATCTAAAAGTTTCCTGAATTTCGATCATTTAGTAAAGTTCGTTTACATTACATCCACTCATTTTGTGAATTATGGTGGCTAAACCTCGGGACAATTAACAATTCCAAAGTACTGAATTTTATGTTAAAGATGTGTGTGGGTTGGGGAGTACAAAAGGGGGAGGGCGAGATGGAGAAGAGGAAGGAGAGAAGGGAATGCATTTCATGAAATTGACAACAGAAATAGCTTGGCATATGCTTTTTTCGATACGGATATCAGGTTAAACTGAGTTTTTTTTATCAATATTCTGGTCATTACCTGGGGGATTAGATTTCCTAATAGCTTTATTAGATGACAGTTCTTAACCATTACGCTGTTTAATAGTGAGGTAGGTCCGTAGTTGGTCAAAGGGAGACAACTTATATATACGTACTGTTAATTACATATATATATATTTGTTTTCTTTTTCTTGCCTGAGCCAGATTGTTGTTGTTGTCTTATGAATTTAAATAACACATTTTTAAATGTTCTTGTTGGTTTGTTGATAAATGATGTCTTCTTTTGAAATCACAATAAAAACAATTATCTATTTTGATTGAAGTCAGTATTTCTATATGCCTTTTTGTTCTCTGGAATGCTTTTAAATTAACATTAGGTCTTTTTCGTTTTGAACCTTGTATATGCTATTTTAATTTTTAAAGTTCAACATTCCTAAAATATTCTTGACGGTAGAATTCGAATAGGCACGGTTATGTAAGGCCAGAATTGCCCTGCCGTAATTTCATAACAAAACGTCAAAAACAAATCATGATTTATTGAGATATGTGTATGTACAATGACATTAAAACAATATCTGCAGTACCAGATAATTAATGTTTGGTTTGATAAGCGTCCATTCCGCCCATCGCGCCGGCTTCATCTTGTGAGGTGGAGGGAAAGTGTGGTCCTGGAGGAGGGATGTACTCTGCGAATGCCCCTGGGGGTAGATTTTCTCCGTACATAGAGTTATAGGTTGGGGGCGGGACACCCGCGTACCCGGGCATATATTGCTGTGGATAGCCTGCCATTGCGACTGCTGCCTCCCTCTGCCGCCGTTCTCTGCGTTCATCTCTACCTGTCAACAAATATCCTTATATATAATTAATTCTGCCTCATTATTTAAACTCTTTTGGATTTTCGTCGACTTGAAGAGACGACAACAAAATTGTTACATAAAGAAACTAAGACGACAATTCTTCGAATTTTGAATGCATGTATTAATTATATTTTATCCATCGACAGTGCAAACGGCTGTGTAATTATGAAAAGTGTCGATCTACTTACGTGCCGTGGCGTTCTGAGTGGCCGTCATATGTAAGACCGCTACCCGGGACGTTTGTTTGGTGTGGTTCTTCATGCAGCAAATTGCCAAACCGAGGGCGAGAATGATGAACACTACGGATGTGGCCACGACGGCTATAACAAGTCCGGAATCACTGGTCCTGTACAATTAAAAAACGGTATCTGGGAAGCCTCATTCATCAACGAAAATTATATAAAGTGCCGAGATCGCTTTAGCAAACATGAACGGAACTTCTATATTTTGTTGGAACTCCTATTTTTTATTTCCTTTTTTTTTTTTTTTTTTTTTTCGAAAATTTCAATCCAAAATGTTTAAAATAACTATCTACGTTTTATTTCTTAGCACACAGGAAAAAAATAATTTTAATAGTTTAAGCATTCCAAGCACGTGATAATCATCAATATGTGTTGTGACCGTAGAGAATCGGAAAAATAAAATAAATTTAGAAATGCTTAGACTCTAAGAGGTAACTTTTCTGTATTTTTATACATATATTAAGTTTAAAAGCAATCAGTCCAACATAATTAAATATACAAACGGGAAAATTACAGTAACTATCACCTTCATAACATTGTTTGCATATCACACAATACTAATAAAATAAACAGCGATATTTAAAACAGAGCTTACTAAAGTTGGCGTTTTTCAAGTTATGATAAAATACACGTACAACATTGAAAAAATTATAAATTATAACAACAACTTGTAATTAAATTAAGATTTTCAGATATTAAAACATGGTGATTTCTCAGGGATGTTAGATTGAAAATTCAAATTAGTAATTCGAAAGTTCAAAACTGACGTCATTCTACATTCGTTTTTCAACAGAATGTAGTCCCAAAACCCATAGTTAGGGGCCAGAAGTTCAGTTAGATTAAAGATGCTGACAGTGTTTTCAAATCAGCACTTATAATATCTGTGGTATCAATAGCTTGTCTACAACTAATCTGATTGTCTATTCAAGAAACAATAAACGAGTGTACGTGTAATGTAACATCCTCCAGGGGTTACTCTCCCATACTCTGTCTACACAGAGCGAGCGTAACCCCTAAAGTATCGAGGAGGGGTTACGCTCGCTCTGTGAAGACAGAGTATGGGAGCGGAACCCCTGGAGTATCGAGGAGGGGTTAGGCTCGCTCTGTGTAGACAGAGTATGGGTGCGTAACCCCTGGAGTATCGAGGAGGGATTACGGTCGCTCTGTGTAGACAGAGTATGGGAACGTAACCCCTAAAGTATCGAGGAGGGCTTCCGCTCGCTCTGTGTAGACAGAGTATGGGGACGTAAGCCCTGGAGTATCGAGGAGGGGTTACGCTCGATCTGTGTAGACAGAGTATGGCCGCGTAACCCCTAAAGTATCGAGGAGGGCTTCCGCTCGCTCTGTGTAGACAGAGTATGCGAGAGTAACCCCTGGAGTATCGAGGAGGGATTACGGTCGCTCTGTGTAGACAGAGTATGGGGACGTAACCCCTGGAGTATCGAGGAGGGATTACGGTCGCTCTGTGTAGACAGAGTATGGGGACGTAACCCCTGGAGGATCGAGGAGGGGTTACGCTCGCTCTGTGAAGACAGAGTATGGGAGCGTAACCCCTAAAGTATCGGGGAGGGGTTACGCGCCCATACTCTGTCTAGACAGAGTATGGGAGCGTAACCCCTAGAGTATCGAGGAGGGGTTACGCTCTCTCTGTGTAGACAGAGTATGGGAGAGTAACCCCTGGAGTATCGAGGAGGGATTACGGTCGCTCTGTGTAGACAGAGTATGGGGACGTAACCCCTGGAGGATCGAGGAGGGGTTAAGCTCGCTCTGTGTAGACAGAGTTTCGGAGCGTACCCCCTGGAGTATCGGGGAGGGGTTACGCTCGCTCTGTGTAGCCAGAGTATGGGAGCGTAACCCCTAAATTATCGAGGAGGGGTTACGCTCGCTCTCTGTAGCCAGAGTATGGGAGAGTAACCCCTGGAGTACCGAGGAGGGGTTACGCTCGCTCTGTGAAGACAGAGTATGGGAGCGGAACCCCTGGAGTATCGAGGAGGGGTTAGGCTCGCTCTGTGTAGACAGAGTATGGGAACGTAACCCCTAAAGTATCGAGGAGGGGTTAAGGTCCCATACTCTGTCTACACAGACCGAGAGTAACCCCTTCTCGATCATCCAGGGGTTACGCTCCCATACTCTTTCTACACAGAGCGAGCGTAACCCCTTCTCGATAATTCAGGGGGTACGCTCCCATACTCTGTCTACACAGACCGAGCGTAACCCCTTCTCGATAATCCAGGGGTTACGCTCCCATACTCTCTCTGCACAGCTAGAGCGAGCGTACCTCTGGAGTATCGAGGCTGGTAGTGTGATAAAATTTATATGACAAGAGCGAAACATGTTTAAAAATGCATTAAATATTTTCGAAACCAACATAATATAGAAAGCATATCCATTCCACTACATAAAATATAACTCGATATAGTTACGTGTCTACTGTAGTGCCTTTTTAAGACTTGTCAAAGTATTTCAGTTAGACTGTGCGTTTCACACCAAACATTTGTTAAGTGATTTCTCGTTTTCATTTCACCAACAAGCCGTGTAGATCTGAGGGCATAATTTTAGCAGTAGTCAATGTTTTTGGGGAAACGACAAAGTATACAGTGGATAATCAGGTTACATGCGTGTCCCCCCACTCGACAACGTTAAATAGTCTAAGTAACATGCTGGTTTATCATTTACATTTATTGTCATACAGCACCTATAGGCGGATTCTGCGAATCTGTTGCACGCGCATAATGTTTTTTATTTGAATTTCTTTATTGACAGTAAACAGTTCATGGATACAGCATGTACATCAATCATGCTTACAGTAAAAGTAAGTAATGTTAAGGTCATTTCATAAATACTTTTTTCAAAATTAACATTGTTTACCAACGAACGTAGTTATAAATAAATGAAAAATGACATTTAATTGCCTACGCGGTGACTTTTAATTGATAACTTACTCGCAGCAGTATTCGTCGTTGACGTCACCACAACACTTGTCAGCACATTTTGTAAAGGTTGTGGTCGTACTTCCACCTGAGGTCGAGGTTTTCTTACAGATGTTTTGCCCATTACATACTAAAAACGAAAGAGGAAATAGTTATCGATGTATACGAATGATTCCCACCGTTCTCTGAACTGGAAAAACTACACATCAATCAACTGAAACGTTCTCTCACAAAATTTAACTAGAATGAGCTCGAGTTTCTCCAGGGGTTACGCACACTTTCGCTATCTACACCCCTGAAATATGTCATAGCAAAGTTGAAGGTTCAGTGTGCGCCACCTTGTTGATGAGAAAAGAAGACTAGTTTGATCCTTTGATCAAAAGGTAAAAACGGTAACAATTAACTGCCTTTAAAGTCGGATTTCGCTCCGGTCCTTCGTCATCTTCAAAGGACATATATCAAACAGCTGTCTTTGTGCCTTCAATATATTAATTTTGCTTTGCCATATTCCAGGGGTTTAGAGAGCGAAAGTGAGCGTAGCCCCTGGAGTATTGATGATGCAATATACATATAAGTAAATCATTATCATTTCAGACTGACATGTAACATTTCAACCAATTTTGATGGGAAGACCATAGACCATAGTAAGTCATTAATGAATGTTTAAAGCGGTTATTGTTCATCTGAAATAATTTATTATTGAACCCAAATCCTAACGCATGACGGCTTACATAAATACGAGACGGTCCTCACAATAACGCGACAGGCCAGGGCGGTTCGCAAATTTACCTCTCGTTTAACATGTAAAGCACTTATCTAACGTTATCTTGTACAAACCATCTCTCGCAGAGATTATCTGAATTCTTCATGCCAAAAGGAAACACCAGTGATATCGTGTACTTACGTGGTATTTTGCTCGGAACAAATATGTCAATTTGATATTGTAAGTATCTGTGTCAAGATATCAATCTGGTTGTTCGTGCCATTTAATTATGATGTTCGTATTAAGTCGAAGATGTACGTACTGGTTTGTAGATTCAATAATTGTCATCCTATTTACATTGAATGTTGATGGATGATATATTCTGACCTAAATGTATACAGTCGAACCTCGTTATCTCGAACTCGTATAACTCGAAGACCCCGTTTAACTCGAAGCATTTCATCGGTCCTGGCCAAAACTCTTCTTAATCTTAGTAATAAAAACTCTGATAATTCGAACTCTGAAAACTCGAAAAACTCGGATATCCCGAAGTGAAACATAGGTCCCAACAAGCTAAATCCTACATATCCCTTATATATATGAAGTAAAACTGAAATACGACGGTATACAAATTATATAGTAATTTCGGCCAATATCATATGATGCTAGTGAGTTGTTCGATAACATGAGCATGGCAAAAACAACCAAAATGTAGATTGTTGTTTTTTTAGGTATTTATATTTCAGCAACTATTTTTAATAAATAGATAAATAATTTACATTTCATTTTTCAGCATTTTTATACCAGTATACATGTATTTATATTTTTCAAAACATAACTTTTTTTGACGAATTTTGGTACAATTTGTATCCAAAGATTTACTAATAACTTAACACGATTAAGAGATTAAAAAAATAGAAAGTTTGGATGTTGAAAAAGTTCAGTTTAACAACAAATTATGATATAAAGGTATATATGCAGCCACGAAAAGGCAAAATTCATCACCAATTTTGCTTTACTTCTTTTGATAACTAGTACAATCATCTTGTCATTTCCGGTACGACAGTGACATTTTTGTTCTTGGTGAATTACCGTGTACGTATGTGGTATGGCTTCTATTTTTGTGGCAGTCAGATATCACAAAATCGTTATGAGAGACGGTAAACATACATGTACTTTAATTAGCATTAGATATGTTGTTTTCATGTAAAACGAGAGTTGGTAATAAACGAACCATATGGGCATAACACCATATTTGGAAGTAGCGGTACGAACGTCGTATCTACTAAAGTGAAGTCTGATTATAGCCCTTAAATATTTCTCAAGAATAATTTCTGCTGCAGAGAAACACTATGTCGAATAAGATGGATAACCAACGTATGATGGCATATTTCTGTCATCGTGATGCCGACTTACGACTGAATGATGTCGACATAATATGAGAAGATGTCGACATTATATGAGAAGATGTCGACATAATATGAGAAGATGTCGACATAAACTGAAGAATTCAATGTTCTAAAATCATTCAAAAGGATTTTCCCGAGCTAAACAAAGGTAACGTTAACACTACTGCTGGTTAGTAAGTATTAAATAATAAACAGTTCAGATCAACAAGTTGTGTAAGATCGAAGACAAATTGTCCGGACAATGGTAGTTTATATGATATTTGTTATAGGCACTATATTTGTATTTATATTTAACACATTATGTACTGTATTATCTAGTGAATATATCCATGTCATATTTTTTTGCGTATAAACCCATATAATATGACTTATCAGCCCTGTGATTGATTGTAAGTTTCAATTGTTTCAATTGTGACGTCACGCCTAGGACAAGTACATGACGTCACAGACTTACGCACTGGAGACAAAATGGCGGCTTTTTACAATTCAAGGTTGCATGAAAATTGTCGTTTTACACAAATAAATGTTACAAATCTTGATTTTGTGATAATAAATATCTTACACTCGTTTTCATTTCATATGAAATTGAAACTCATGTAAGATCCTATATATATTGTTTAAATTACGTAATTATTTAATTTTATCTGTCCTGATAATTAATCATTTCTCGCCACTAGACTTTTGGTTTTTAATGAAAATTACAAAACCAGCATTGGTCTCTGTAACCGCAACTTTTTATCATTCAAATCAGCGTTCCTGTTTGCAAAAGATATATGTTCCATGGCGAGGATTGTACTCCAACCAGTCAGTGTTATTTATAATTTTAATGTGTCATCGCCATTTAAAAATGTTGATTTCATACCAGTCCTTTGCCGAAATTTAAAAAAAAAATCATATGTTTCTTATTTATAAAATAAAGTGTTGCCATTGTTAATCTAATCTTCGATGATCTAGTATTTTATTCCACTCCAATATTTACATTCGGATACGGAGTAACTTCCATTCAAAGTTATAATGCCTTATTTTTAAGTCTATGAAGGTATGACATTTGTCCAGATAACGATGTACAACTACATATTCTGTGTACATGAAGTAGTATTGTGTTTACAATGGATCTGTCTAGGTACAAGTACGCTATACTCACGTTGTAATAATACACCAAACACTAAAACGGCACATTGTAACATCCCCATCCGATTTTGTATATCCAGCTGTCAATAAGTAATCAATTCCCTACGTGAATTTGTTAAACTTCTCATTTCTATGGACCTGTAAATTTAGTATATTTCAATCACACCAAAATATAACCCAACACAGCCCTCGGCCGTCCTTTAAAGAGTTCCAATTGTCCTGAAACTTCACCTTGATCTCGTGGTATAAAGATTCCTCAGCTTATTGAAATAGGGGGTAACATTTAAATCACTAATAACTTCATAATAATAGAAATAAAAAATCACATGTGTATTATTCTGGGATTCTAATGACCACCATCTAATTCACTTTAAAAATCAGTACATGAATTTGAAAAAAAGAAAGAAAAGAAATTAGTTATTTTCTTAGTTTGTAATTAAGCTTAAGACGCTCGGTACGCCTGATTAATTAACTCGTAGTGACGTCACCGTTCTAGTCATACTATAACGTGGTACAGGTACATGTGGTGTTGTCAATGCCGTATTGTTTTACAGACACGAGGAATAGAGTTACATTGTTATTTAGGTTGAATAACCTGTAATCAATGATCAGAGGTTCACTGAACCGAGTGGTACCGAGGCCATTTTGTTAAAATCTAATGAACGTTCAATGCGTACAGTTATCTGCAGACGACATTAATTTATTGTTTTTGCAAAAGGATTATTTTATATCTGTGTTTATATCAATTTAAGAATTTAATTTGTTTTCTTACAATCGTTTCCAACATAAATATTTTCGTTAATAGTAAACAGGAGATATACACATTAAAATCAATACAACTATTTTTAAGAATTTTCACATGTAAGGAAAACTACCATTTTGGCGATCGCGGCTGTAGTGTTTGTGACGTTTGTGACGTAATTTTAGTTTGTGACGTCATTGTATTTAGTGTTCTTTGTGACGTCACAATATGTCAGAAACATTATGTGACTGTGTTATTGCACTGAATAATAGCATGTGTATGTGATAAATATAGGATATCCTTGATTTCTTGATGAATAACTGTGATGGGTGAATATTTTGATACATATGAATTTTTTTAACCCACAAGTGAAATATAACTAACTGTTACTTATAAAGAAACAAAGGCTTTTCTCTCTACTACATATTTCTTTATATAGACATTGGCTTCCTTGAACACATATAACAAATCTGCCGCCAAAACAAATGAGACAGAAAGAGGAATGCTGTATTGTGACGTCATAAATTATATAAAAATGTCTGAGCGTTAGTGACGTCACATTTTACAATGCCCATTGTTTATTATTTTTCACACTCAATAGTGGTGATAAGTCAGTTAAGTATGTTAATGTTAACAAATTGTTGTTTGTAGGAGTTGAATAACTTAAAAAATCAATGCAATAAATTATTAATATATTTTCTCATAAAACCTTGTTTAACGGTAGTCTAGGGGTAGGACGTCGGGCTCGCGGCACTGTGTTGTATCTATGAGCAAGATACTTTACTCAGCTTGTTCGAGTCCACTCAGCTGTAAATGAGTACGTGGTTGGGCAGTGATAGCATTGTTGAATGCTAGCTGTGAGCGCCGAAATGGCAGCACTCTCCGTGGAGTTGAGAAAGATATTGGCTGGTTGCAAATGCCTTATAACCACGGATAAGAATTTTTGAACCGCTTTGAGACGACCGACGAACTAGGTTATGATAAAGTTGTATATAAGAACCTCTACTTATTATTATTACTGTTGGTCTTGGATACACTCCCGTGCGGTCTTATCAGAAGAAGACCATCTAAATGGCAGATCTAACCACAAGTATTTACATTATTTGATGTCCAATACGTACGTAATAAATACCTATATCAATGTCCTTAAGATCTTTGATTTTAGTATGTCGTTCAAAATGCGATTCCTGATAACAGGTAAGTCACGGTACCTATGTCATAGTGCATATATGGTATATTTATTCCGAGACAAATTTAAACAGGCAATAAAGTAACACAAATGTTACTGTGTATTGCGTAAATAGAGTATACATGCGAAAATACAGTTTCAGCAATGTCTCTATATCTCCAATTCTCACGATGTGAGTAGTTTGTCCAATAAAGATAACAGACTTTGAAATTGATGTTACGAATATGGCAACATTATATCAACAAATTGAGAAAAAAATATTATAGGGAGTTACCGAATGTCATGCACCGCAAATTTATTAATTCGACCAGGAACCTACCTTTTAAGAAAACGTTTACCATAATGTCCACACGTAAGAAAAGTCACCAACACTAAAGGAAACAGATGTACACAGTGAACAACAGAGGAACGTAATACAGAAGTCGCCATAGTTTGAAACCATGATCCCAGAAATGAGAATGTGTGCTGTGCGCGTGTATCGGAAAGGTAAGATTGATACTTATAGTCAAACATACATGACCTACTTATAAACTCAATTAAACCAATAGGATGTTTTTTGTGCTGATTTTAGGTATTTCTTTAGATTCTATTTACACGTTCACTGTATGTATCTAATTGAAAAGCTTTAAAAATGATACAGTATAAAGTTAATGATACAGTATATAGTTAATGATACAGTATATAGTTAATGATACAGTATATAGTTCCTGATACAGTATATAATTAAGTTAATGATACAGTATATAGCTAATGATACAGTATATAGACAATGATACAGTATATAGACAATGATACAGTATATAGACAATGATACAGTATATAGACAATGATACAGTATATAGACAATGATACAGTATATAGCTAATGATACAGTATATAGATAATGATACATTATATAGTTACTGATACATTATATAGTTAAAGATACAGTATATAGTTACTGATACATTATATAGTTACTGATACAGTATAAAGTTAATGATAAAGTATATAGTTAATGATACAGTATATAGTTAATGATACAGTATATAATTAATGATACAGTATATAGATAATGATACATTATATAGTTAATGATACAGTATATAAAGTTAATGATAAAATATAGATAATGATACAGTATATAGTTAATGGTACAGTATATCATTAATGATACAGTATATAGTTAATGATACAGTATATAGTTACTGATACAGTATAAAGTTAATGATACAGTATATAGTTAATGATACAGTATATAATTAATGATACAGTATATAGATAATGATACAGTATATAGTTAATGATACAGTATATAGTTAATGATACAATATATAGTTAATGATACAGAATATAGTTAACGATACAATATATAGTTAATGATACAGTATATAATTAAGTTAATGATACAGTATATAGATAAGGATACAGTATATAGTTAATGATACAGTATATAGACAATGATACAGTATATAGTTAATGATACAGAATATAGTTAATGATACAGAATATAGTTAACGATACAATATATAGTTAATGATACAGTATATAATTAA